TTGGGTCTCCTGAAAGAAAGGTGGGAATTCTTCCATTGAGCCATTGCTGGCTTCTACTGCTAGTTATAGTAGGTAGTGTTTCTGGTGTGGTGCTGTTCAGTGGTTCAAATCTACCAGCCACTCCTCAGAAACCCTATACACAGTCACTATGAGTCAGAACCGACTCAGTGGTACGTAACAACAACAATATTTCTAGTGTAGTCAGAGGCCACCAAACCCTTTGCATACATTATCTCTCTTAACATTCAGTTCACAGTGATTAATAAGGAGATACCATGATGCCCATTTTTACATTATAAGGAAACAGGTCTAGAGAGGTGACATATCTGTCCTAAGGGCACCGGGTCTGAGTTGTATCCTTAACGTTGTCACTGTAATTTAGTGCTATAAACAGACTTTTTCATGCTTCTTTAATAGCCACAGTTCAAAGGGACAGAAGCTTAAGTGGGAGAAGAGAGTCTCTCTTATAAGCCACATCTGAAATCCCCATGGTTGTCCATCTGTGCTTCAAGCTGCTGGACAGCAGCATCACTGGCCAGTGCCTTCAGGTCCAATGCACCCCCATTCTTCCCCAGAGCCATTTCTGACATAATTAGAGCACTCAGACCCCCTTGAAATTCATATAGGAACATGGGTGGGCTGCAGGAAATAAAGGCCTCCTTTTCCAAACATAAAGACCAGACAAAGGATCCCGTTAATGAGCTCCCTGCCAGGGCTGCCCTGGGGGAGGGGGTAGCCTGTAATCTGAAACAGACCTGGACATCAAAGGCCCAGGACCCTTTTAAGAGGAACCACTGCTCCTGCTGTGGGAAGAAGGCCTTGGGGGTCTGGGGCAGCAGGCAAGGCACAGGCCTGGGAAGCCCCTGGTTAGCTGGCATAACCAAGCAGTGAGTCTGAAAGCATCTCCTGGCCACCTCTGGAGGCCTATTTCATAAGAGAGCTATATGGCTTCTTTCAAGGGATGAAGGAAGAGCCTTCATCAGTGACATCAACTCAGTGACAGTGACTTTGGGTTTTTTGAGAGTTTTATGGAAGCTTAGATGTTAATAGAATGGATTATTTGGGAACTTCCATGAAAGACTGAGAATTCTTACCCTGAAACTGGTTCAGCTCATCCTATCGACATTTAAAGCTCGCAAGTACGGAACTACCAAGACAGTTGACAACACATTTCCCTAAGGTTCAGATTGTTGTTGTTGTTAAGTGCCATTGAGTCAGTTCCGACCCATAGCGACTCTGTATAGGGTTTCCGAGGAGCAACTGGTGAACTTGAACTGCCAATGTTGCAGTTCAAATGGCTTTGTTTGGCGCAGTCTGATGCATTAACCAACAGCGCCACACCAGAACTCCTAGTAGCCACAAATTCAGGACTGCCAGAGTGAGTAGGACAGGGAAGTGGTAGTAGACACTGAGCATGCTTTGAAGGGCTTGTTTTGGGAGCTTCTCCAACAATAAAAACAGTTGACATCAAGTCTGTTCCAACTCACCACAACCCCATGGGTATCAGAGTAGAGCTGCACACTACCTAGGGTTTTCAATGGCTGATTTTTCTGAAGCAAATCACCAGGTCTTTCTTATTCCATGCCTCTGGGTAGACTCTAACCTCTAACCTTTCTTTAAGTAGCTGAATATGTTAACCTAGGGGCTCTAACTCCTCCAAAGCACCCACCACACTGAAACATTTTGAAGGCAAACTGTGCTGTACTCATCTTAGCAAGATACCTAGAGAGTTCTAGATGGAAAAACATCCCGCACCAGCACACACACACAAGCCTTCTGCTCACTTAGTCTGAGATTTGGGGTGAGCTGCTTTCAGTGTTTGGCTCTCCCACCAGACCTTCTTTTTGTTAGCTTGTTCCCAGGACTCTGTGGAACACCTGCCACCCCAGGTGGCCTCTCTGGCCACACTTCCTGAGCTGGGTGAGGTCCCATGTTCAATGTCTGCAGTTGGAGAGTACACAGATGTTGGCTGTTGCATCCAGATGGGCTCTGTAAAAAGACGCATGAGTGCACCGGGACTGGCCTGTGGCTCTTCTCCGTCATAATGGTGAACACACACGCTTCATGTTTACAGACAGCCTCAGAGCTGACAAAAACCTGTGAGTGCATTGCAGAGTGAGGAACCCAGGCCTGCAAACACCAGCCTCCTTCCTCAAAGGCCTGGTACTAGACTCCCCTGCTTAAAACCTCTGCTTTGTTCCAGCCTTACCCACTCTAAGAAAGTACTCAATAGGATTTAGGTTGCTCTATTTCTTCATTAAATTAAAATGAATATTTTTTAAAATTTTATCATCCATGCCTTCTCTCTTTCAACAATGCTTATTGAGTGCTTTCCAAATGCCAGGCAGCAGGTCAGGGACTGACCTTTAGCAGGAAAAGTTCAGATTGAGTTCCTGACCTCTTAGAGACCAGTGTTTCTCAAATAACCCAGAAATATCAAATGATAAATAGTAATCAAAGAAAAATAAGGCGAGTCACGAGGATTTTTTCAGAGAAAGAATATCGCAGATTTTGCGAAGGTCACGTGTCATTCTTCAGTATGACCCAGTAAGCAGAGGCTTCCTTGTGCCTACTTACTAATCTGACATGAACTATTTCACGCTTTTTCAGCACATTAAAGATTCTACTTCTGTGTATGGCTGCCATCTCTCTCTCTTGCAACCTTCCTACAGAATCAAAGTCTCTTTTCAAAGTTACAGTCCCTAACAGTGATGGAGTACCTAGTAAGTCTATGCTTATCTTGCTTACTGGGTAATTGAGTAATTTAATTTTTCTCTCTCTCCCTTCCCGCAGCAAGCAGTGGTCCTTCTCCCTAGAGCCCATTATTTCTCTCTGCTTATATGAGTTTGGTGCTTTTTATGTTTTTTGTTTTGCCATATTGTATGAACCCTGGTCTGGCACTGTAGGATAAGTTGTTAAGTGCTGTTGAGTCGAATCTGACTCATTGAGATTCCAGATAGGGCTTCTGAGGAGTGGCTGGTGAGCTTGAATGCCAACCTTGCGGTTCAAACCGACCTTGCAGTCCTGTGCATTAACCTGCTCCTAACCCCAAAGTTGGCTACTCTTGGAAACCCTATACAGGATCGCTATGAGTCAGAATCAGCTAGATGGCACACCACAACAACAACATAGGTGGCACATTGGACCTCTAACTGTGAGGTTGCTGGTTTAAACCCACCAGCTACTCCACTGGAGAGAGATGAGGCTTTGTGATCCTATAAAGATTTATGGTTTCAGAACCCCTATAGAGAGTCATTAAGAGATGGGACTGACATGATGGCAGTGAGTTTAATTGAGTTTATAGTTATATGGCACCCTGATGGCTCAATGGTTAAATGTCTGGCTGCCAACCAGAAGGTTGGTCATTCACACCTACCCAATGCCTCCATAAGAGAAAGAACTGCCAATATGCCCCCATAAAGATTATAGCCAAGAAACCCCCCTGAAGCAGTTCTCCTCTGTCACAAGGGATTCCTGTGGTTGGACTCCACAGCACCCACTAACAGGCATGTGACAGTTTTTACATGCATGTGATACTCAATGGAGCTGTAGGGGCTCCTGGCACACAGGAAACAGACTGAAGAGTTTTTAACTGGGTGTTAACAACAGTGTTACATAAAACATGAACATAAAATATTTCACATTTTAGGATAATAATACCACATGCATACCATAGAGGAAAATCTATTAGGGTCTTGTTGGTTCCTCCTCACAGTGATCTTACGCACAACAGAACGAGGCACTGCCTGGTCCTCCACCACGCTCACAATTGTTACACTTGAGCCCATTGCTGCTGCCACTGTGCCAATCCATCTTGTTGAGGGTCTTCCTCTTTTTCACTGACCTCCACTTTACCTAGCATGATGTCATTCTCAAGGGACTGGTCCCTCCTGATAACATGCCTGAAATATGAGAAATGGAGTCTTGCTATCCCGGAGTCCTTATGTGGTACTGTGGGTTAATGTGCTGGACTGCAAAGTCGGTTTGAATTGCAAGGTCGGCAGTTCAAGCCCACTAGCTGCACGTTGGAAACCCTATACAGGGTCGCTATGGGTCAGAACCAACTTGACGGCACTTAACAACAACAACAACAACAACAATCCTGGCTTCTAAAGAGCTCCTAACCAAACCCATTAATATTTCTGCTGCAAAATAAGTCACACTAATTGGGCTAAATGAGTAACATATATAGCTTCAGGTTGGGTTTTGCCCTCAAATGAGTTAGCAAAAAAGTCTGGTTTGGGAAGCTGTTTAGTTTTCAGAATTCTGAACCTGCAGCTGCCCTCATGGAGGTCAGAGTCCACAGCTGCCTCCTCTCTGTCTCACGTCAGCCTGTCCCTCATGTCTGTACCGAAACTGACCAGTGAGAGCAGCTGTCAGGCAGGGTACAGCACAGCTTCACACATAGTGTGAGAGCTCATATTGTATTGCTTATTCAGAGTGAGATTTTGAACCCCGTCATCCCAGTTCCATCATTGCCAAGGAAGCAACGGTGGAATAGACATGATTTTTTTTTTAATTTAGGTGAATTGGAATGGGTAAAATTATAGGTTGTAACGCTGCTAGAAACTTAACTTCCCTCTTGTTGTTGTTGTTGAGTGCCGTTGAGTCGGTTCCGACCCATAGCGACCCTGTACAGGGTTTCCGAGGGTATAAATCCTTACGGGAGTAGAAAGCCTCATCTTTCTCCCGCGGAGCGGCTGGTAGTTTCCAACCGCTGACCTTAAGGCTCGCAGCCCGATTCGTAACCACTACGCTACCAGAGCTCCATAACTTCCCTCTTAGGACAATGTATTTGTTGCATAGCTACCAAATCTCTCGTCTGCAGCTTGGGAAATAATGGTACCCAGCTCAAAGATAGTGGGCCCACTGCTCTGCTTTGAATGTGTGTGTGTTGCACTCCACAGCTCAGTCAGTAATCCAATCTCCCACATCAGGCTTCTGAAAGGACTCGCTACCCTTCCTCTGAGTATTTCATTCCAGGACTTCAACCTATATATTTATTTCCATTCTGATCATTGTTCCGGTTCACCTTCACCCAAGTTAAAAAAAATTCAGGTCTCTTCCATTTTGCTTCATCAGCCATGACTGGACCAGTCTGAACTGGTTTGACCCTCTGGTTCACAAGGAAGAATGTGAGTTATCTTAGTTGCTCTGAGCCCAGTTCTGGGAGTTGTTACTTAGAAAATTAATTAAAATGGGAAAATATGACTGTACCAAATGTATGATAGAAACAACTTAGGTTGTTTCCAAGTCTTCGCCATCCCCCAAAATGGTAAATGACCCAGCAAATTGAGGGATATTGGCATTTAATAACAACAACAACAGTAGAGCCCTTGGTGTCTCTGAATGGTAGTTAATGCATTTAGTTACTGATGGAAAGGTTTGGAGGTTTGAGTACATTCAGAGGCACCTCAGAAGAAAAACCTGCCATCTACTTCTGAAAAATCAACCAATGAAAATCCATGGAACACAGTTCCACTCTGACAACTCCAGGACCACTGGTAACTGGTTACTATAGCCATTTAAACATCATGTGTTAGGATATGGAAAAATCTCACAGCAGATCATGATACATTAAAACTAAAAGCAGGCTCAATATGGATATACACTACCATTCTTCTGGAGTCCTGGTGTGGGGCTGTATGGTAAGCATTGGACTGCTAACCACAAGGTCGGCAGTTCAAACTCACCAGCTACTCCTTGGAAACCCTATACAGAGTCGCTCAGAGTTAGAACCAATTCTACAGCACTTAACAATAACAGCAATCATTCTTCTATTTAAAAACAATAATAAAATGTCACAGGATAAAAGGGTATCTATAGGGAAGTATATCAATATGCTTCCATTTGTAGGTTGATGTAACAGAATAATGGAAGATTTATTTATTCTATTTTCTAATTTAAAAAACGTCTTGTAAACAAAATGGCACTGCTTTATCTTCATTGGCACACACTTCCCAGGAGTGTAGACTGTTTCTGTGGAAGATAGCCCCATTTCCCATTATCCTCGTGCCATTTGATTCTCCTTTATTTTCCTTAAAGTCGCTAGAAGCTTGGAATAGACTCCTACATCCCACATCCCATGCATACCTGAGGCTCATCACTCACCAGTCTCTCACCTCCTCACCCTGGTAAACTGATGGGGTTTTAGAGATTGGGGCAGGACACAGATGGAATCAATGTTATTTCTCATTTTCTCTCTCCCCTGTAGGCTGGCCGCACCGCTTTGTCCATCATTCTGAAATCCCCTGCCCATGTGGAAATTGCAGGGCTGCTGCAGGCCCACGCAGAGCAGGCAGGTCCTTGAGGCCACAGGGGCTTTGGAAGGAACTGGACACAGCAAACAAAAGACGTCTTCTTTGGATCCTCCTTCACCCTTGGAGAGGCCAGGGATCATAGCCAGAGGGCAGTCCCTCAAAAGAAGAAACTATGTCAAATATGCACATACATTCCTGTTGTATAAGTCTGCTCATTAGGATGCTTTGTAGTTTTTTGCCTAAGGTCTAGCCCTGAGACTACACGGGCTTCAGAGTAGGGTGTAGGATGCATCTGTGTCATCTAAAACTCCCAAACATTTTCAGACTTGAATTCCTCTTGACTCTACCCTCTGTAACACTGTGGAGCAACTGGGCAGGCAGAAGCACATTAGAAAAGCAATACTTTTTACATGGAATTTTAACATGCATCATCTTTTCTTTTTTAAAATAGATTATATACAAATATGTCCCATTGAAAATGCATGTCTAGAGGGGATGGGGAAAGGGTTTAAGCACTCATTTTCTCGAGAACTCTGAAAATCACAGAGGGTGAAACTGAACAAGCCCCTTTTGGGAATTCCGTTAGATGGGGTTGATAGAGAAATCTTAAATTCAGAAAAGCACATTGACGTCAATGCCAGCGATACGGTTTTGACAATTTTTGAGCTAAGGAGAAGGTTCGCTTTGCTCCAGGGAAATGGAATTAATTGGGAAATACAGTCCAGTGAAGCACACACACCACAATGTACTTTGGCGGAAGCCAATTATATCAGCTATTCCAATCTGATGAAAGAAGTAAATGAACCTGAGTGAGCTTCATTGTGAAGAAGTGTTATAGTCATCTAGAAGCCACCTCGTTCCCCCTGTACCCTCATGCTAATCCCTGGTCTTCTCATTTCATGGCACCCATGAGCATGTTGTACATAGGGTTGCTATGAGTTGGAGCTGACTCTACATCACCTAACAACGACAACATGAACAAATATCTGCTGTGAAATTTCACAGGGTAAGGAAGAGAAGGGATGCCACTGGACTGACATCCGGCTCCAATGGAAAAGTCTTCCTTAACTTCCAGATTCCCTGGGGTCCACGTGTGCATGGCTCAAAATCAGTATCTCACAGGTTACCTAAGAATTTGTTCTTTCTTCAACTCTCTTCTATGAAAATCTCCTTATAGAAAAAAGGAAAGATATCAAAGTTTGGAGAGCCTCGCATTGGAAACTCAGAAGCTTGAGTTTTCATCTTGGCTGGGATTCCAATCTGCTTTGGGCCCTTGTTGAGTAATGAAATCTCTCTGAGCCCCAATGTCATCATCTCTAAAAGCATACTATACAAACTACCTTCTGGGCCTGTTGCAGAAGCAATAGGTAATGGATGTTTTGGAATCCAATTGTAATCCTGAAAGGCTATCTACAGAAATAGTGCAGTAAACATCCTCATTCTGTTGTGAGTCGTAAGAACAGTTCCAAGTCCCAGAGCACGAACCATGATGTGTGATGGTACTACTCAAAAGTGCAGAAAATGGAGCAAATAATGAGCTGAGAGTGCTTTAAATGGGTTTATTTTTACCCCTAAACACACTGAAGAACAAAAAAGCTATACTAATAAATGTCTTAGCCCAATGCTTCTCAAACGTTTATGTGTGATCTTATTAAAATGCAACAGGGTTGGGTGGGACTTGAGATTCTTCAACTCTAACTCACTCCCAGGGGATGCTGATGTCGCTGGGCCAGGAGCACATTTTGAGTAATAAGGCTCAGTGTGTATATTAAAAAGTGGTCTCTCAATCTTCCGTCTCAAGGTTTCCTTGCATTTTTCTACTCTTGGTTCTGGGGAGGTTGTGGTAACAGCCTTGTTGGCTATCGTGTCTCTGCAGACAACAGTAGCGGACCAATGTTCTCTTTATCAACTAAGAATCTGGTTCGTTATCTCAGGGCAGATTTCATTGAGTTACTTTATGTTAAAATAAATATTTCACTTGAGTACAGCTATTAAAAATAGCTTATTTACCAGAGAAGGCAATCTGGTTCTCCTAGAGTTTAAAGACATCATTATCAAAAAGAATTTGTCTACCCTTTCCAAAATTTTTAGCATTTTTCTTGTAATCTTGAGTTTGGAATGTGAACATATGGATCTCATCCCTTATAGCCATTCCGTTCCATTAGGATGTCTGAATCCAGATTCGGTGAGAAGGAAAACTCCTCAGCCCTCTTTTCTACCCAGTCACTGTCTCTTAGCTCTAGAACTCATTCAATAATTATCTATTGAACGCATGCCAACTGCCTAAAACTACTCCCAAAACTAGCTTTTAGGAAACAGCACTTATACAAAAACAACCTCCTGAATCCCATCTTTCCAGGACCTTTAACTAAAATCCCTCTGATGAACACATTTGTCAAGTGCCCAGCAGAGCAAAGCCTTAAACAATACAAATAAGCCTTTCTGGGTTCTAGGACTAAGCTTAGGCCTAGGGAGAGACCTCAGATATTTTATTCCTTTCATTGCCTTCATGGTGCTTTTGGAAGATAAGATACATATACCAATGGCAAGAAGACAAAGCAACTGTTGATTCCACAAATACTTATGGAGTACCCACTGTGTACCGCATTAGCGGCATCCTAGTTCATCATAGTACAGTACAGCCATTTGAGTTGGCGCCGACTCATAGCAACCCTGCATAGGGTTTATGAGGAGCGGCTGGTGAGTTGGAGCCACCAACCAACCTTGTGGTTCAAACCGACCTTGTGGTCCAGTGCTTTACCCCAGAGCACCACACCAGGACTCCCACCATTGACTTGTTGTTGCTGTTGCTAGGTGCCATAGAGTCAGTACCAACTCATAGCGACCTTGTGTACAGCAGAATGAAACACTGCCCAATCCTGGGCCAACCTCACTATTATTGCCACGCTTGAGCCCATTGATGCTGTCACTTGGCCAATACATCTCGTTGTGGGTCTTCCTCTTTTTCTCTGACCCTCCACCTTACCAAACATGATATCATTCTCCAGTGATGGGTCCCTCCTGACAATATGTATGAAGTATAAGAGACAAAGTTTGGCCATCTTGGCCTCCAAGGAACACTCTGGCTGCACTTCTTCCAAAATGAATCTGTTGGTCTAGAGGATATATCTGCTCCTAGCTCTTTCTTTTTGATGACAGTGAGACCCCCACTGTACCTGTTTCTGAGGCAGCTCATTTTAAACCTAGTGAGATGGCAAAACTGACCAATCCCCTCATTAGAGTCCCACACATCCCTTTTCTGCATGGCCTCACATTTGGTGAGTGTTACAAAGACTATGACTAGAAAGCTATAACCAACAATTCACTGTACTAGACAGGGAATGGAGAGAATTTCACAATGACTTCTATTTGGACAACATGGGAGATGTGGCTAGAGAGGAAATTTGAGAGGAAAGCTGGGAAGTGCATCTTGAGGAGGTTTGTATGTCAAAATTAGGAATTTGGACTTGTGTTTCAGCTTGAGGAGGGATCACAGACCATTTTGAGAATCTGAAGCTCTCCAAAGAAAAAACAAAATTTGTATATGATTTCAGAGATTTCGGAATCTGCAGTTAAAATTTAGTTACTTTGGGCGGTGGGGAACCATCAAAAAATTTTTGAACATTGGAGCCAGATTTGCATTTTAGAATGATCACAGAAACAACATGGGGGAACTGGTGAGGGAGAGACTGAAATCAAGAGGCTGCAATAGGAAATTCTCATGAAACACTGGGTATAAAATGGTTAGGGCCCAGTCTACAGTAAAGATAAAGGATGAAGCCCTATGGAAAAGACAGCAGGCATGGGGATAGGCCAGGATGGTGTGATAAACTGTATGGTGGAGAGGGGTCAAAAATGATAGACAAGAGATTGCCTTATTGTCCTCAACATCTTCCCTTCCTCCTTAGCAAGTTTTAACTGGCACATGGCCCTCAGAGTGAGATTCCATTTCTCAGCCCTCCTAGCTGCTGGTATGTGGGTGGAAGTGATATGTGCAAGGCCCAGCATTTAAAGACAGGGGAATGCATTAATCCTTTCCCTCTGGCTGGAACGTGGTGATGATCCTCTTGAACCTTAAAGATGAGGCCAATACCCTGGGGATGATAGACTTTCAAGTCAGAAGGAATTTAGGGAAACCACTCTGGACTGCTTATTTATCAACTGATACATGAGTAGGAAATGATCTTTTAACTTGTCTAAGCCATTGTACATTGGGATCTGTGTTTCAGTAGGAGATGGACACATTGCACAATCGGCACCCATAGCAATATCAGATGAATGGATGGATAAGTGGATTTCAGTGGAGGACAGACTGGGTAAGAAAGCTTGAGAGCAGCGTGTTAAGGACTAGTGAAGCTATAACATATATCTCTTTACAGTGCTGGCCCCTGTTCATGACTCACAGTAAAATCACCAGGCCACAGAGAAGTCACCAGCCCACAATTCTACAGAAGTTACAGATTATGTTGCTCCCACAGATGCCTGGACACAGACCCCAAGCAAATCAGTGCCCAAGAAATGGCCTGATATGGAAATATAGGCAGGATTATAAAATTTCTATGAGGAATTTCTCTGAAACATTGTCAGATACAGGACTGGAAGGTGGGAAAGCACTCAGAATGCAACTGGGGGAAAAATGCCTCCTCAAAGTAGAGTTAAGCTCGGGGGAGAAAAGCACACAGAACCTGCATTTGCTGATGGGCAACAACTTAAAATGAAGAGAAACATCTGTAAACATCCTTTGAAAATTGGAACGTGGAATGTACAAAGTATGAATCTGGGAAAATTGGAGGTTGTCAAAATGAAATGGAATGCATAAACATCGATATCTTAGGCATTAGTGAGCTGAAATGGACTGTTATTGGCCATTTTGAATCTGATAACCACATGGTTTACTATGTAGGGAATGACAAATTGAAAAGGAATGGTGTTGCATTCATTGTCAAAAAGAACATATCCAGATCAGTCATGAGGTACAATGCTGTAAGTGATAGGACAATATCCATGCACTTACAGGGAAGCCCAGTTAATACCACTATTATTCAAATTCATGCACCAACAACTAAAGCCAGTGAAGATGAAATAGAAGAATTCTACCAACTTCTTCAATCTGATATCGATCAAACATGCAATCAAGATGTATTGCTCATTACTGGTGACTGGAATGCAAAAGTAGGGAGTAAAGAGGAGGGACCAGTAGTTGGAAAATTTAGACTTGGTGATAGAAATGATGCTGGAGAATGAATGATAGATTTCTGCAAGACAAATGATTTGTTTATTTCAAATACCTTCTTTAGACAGCAT